GTTTGTCCCTTTCACAAAAAGACAACTTGATTAACTGCATTTTAAAATCCCTTCACTCTGGAATCCCTGCTCACACCCCACCTCAGGAGACGGTGCCTGACACAGGCCCTGCTTGCCCGGTTGTCAGCCCAAAGTGTTCTTTGGCCAAAAAGAACCAAGACAAACAAGGAAAGCCAATCAGATTCACTTAGGGGTCTAGACGCTAAAAGACACTGATGTTCTCTTGAAAAAAGAGCTCACTCTGGGAGGAGCAGATAGGAAGGAACAGCCACTCTGAAGCACTTTAGAAATGACTGTTAGAAGGGGCTTGGTTGGGTTTGGGGTTTGGGGTGGAGACAGCATGTCAAATTTGTGGTTTCTCTCTAAACATACACCAGAGGCTCCAATATCAGAACTGAAATGCGGGTCCTCCTCCAACTCCATCACAGTCTCCCCCGAAACAGCTAAGCCACAGTGCCGGTGCAGCTTTCCTGCTGTGCTGACAGACTCTCTGAGGTGGGCACTACAGTCTATGTCGGGAAATCAGACCAAATAGAACTCATTCTAATTGAAAAGCCCCACGGGGCCAGGAGGACAGCAAGCACCCAACACACACAGAAGAGCCGGCCGCAAGCAAATGCCTCTCAAGATGTTGAGGGCAGAGTCACTGCCTTGGAGCTGAAAGCTTGTTCAGTGGGATCAAAGCTGCTTGGTACACTGCGCTGAGAGGACTATTTTCCCCACATGGCCATCGCAAGGCATCTTCATGCGTGTATCATGTACAGCACCCACAGGAGGAGAGGCATGTACAAGGGAGTTGGATTCCAACCACTACAGAGCCAAGTTATTACATGGCTTTTAAATATTGAGCCTCAATTCATCACTAGATCTCCAGAAAGGACAGATTTTGAGCACACACACACACACACACACACACACACACACACACACACACTCAGCTTCATGTGCTGTGGTAAAGGTTTATTATGGTGTAATCTAATTCAGGGCATTCTGCTCTGTTATGGCTATGATTTGGATAGGACATGCCCTCCCCACCACTCCACTGCCTACCTTGCTCCCCAGACTCACATGCATGAACATGTGGTCTCCAGGGGACGGCAGTGTTTGGGAAGGTTGTGTAAACTTTGGGTTGTGGAGGCTAGCCTGGAATTTTCCCATCTATCATCACGAACTGGACCCAGTTGCCATGCCTTCCCAACCAGGATGGCCAGAACCTTCCAGAAGTATGACCTACAAGAAACCTTTCTCCTTTTAAGTTATTTATTTTGTCACAGGAACAAGGAAAACTACTAACACAGGGCCTGATGTTCACAAAGGTCAAGTTTCAGTAAAAATGGCATTTGGAAAATTCCTTCAAATGTGCCTAAGCTCTGTGAGAAGCAGGGACATCTTGCCTCCCAGCGAGTATGATGGGCAGAGCTAAAGACCTACTGCTGCTACTGCTCTTAAACCAAAGGATGCAAAGGCAAATCCACTTAGTCAAAGGGAAGGTTAGGTAATATCACCCTTACCAACTGAGCATTGAGTCCTCTCTGCCAACACAGAAGGTTCTGCCGCCCTCATTGTAGGGAAAGCTCCTGACCTCTGGGTTTCTCATTGGCTGGTCCATAGTAAAGATTTCCCATTGCCTCTCCTCCTAAGAACACTGTCTCTGTCTTCTGCCACAGCCTCTCCCCAACAACCGTTTCTGCTGTGGGATGGTCTGTATGTCAAATGCTCTGATTGGTCAATAAATAAAACACTGATTGGCCAGTGGCCAGGCAGGAAGTATAGGCGGGACTAACAGAGAGGAGAATTGAGAGAACAGGAAGGCGGAGGGAGACACGGCCAGCCGCCGCCATGACAAGCAGCATGTGAAGATGCCGGTAAGCCACGAGCCACGTGGCAATGTACAGATTTATAAAAATGGGTTAATTTAAGATGTAAGAACTAGATAGCTAGAAGCCTGAGCCATTAGGCCAAACAGTTTAAATAATATAAGCATCTGTGTGTTTTGTCGGACTGCTGGGGGTTGGCAGGACCCGGAGAGAAAACTCTCCAGCTACAGTTTTCTTTCTCAAACACACTGAGCCAGGCTTTGGATAGTACATGCCCTCCGTCTTTTGGCTATCTCTCCTTGGCACTTCTGTATAATGCTAGAAGCTTTCCACAGGGACAGTGCCCTGAACCTTCTGACAACTCCAGAGGACTTCTGGGTATACACTAGCGCTTTCCCAGACAGGTGGTTTGAGGGACATCATTCTTCAGACTACTGTAGGTTGGGATGGTGCCAGAAACCACCTCAAAGCTTAAATAAAAAGGGAATTCTTTTTTTTAATCATCCACATGAAAACTTGTGTGTGGCCTTGGCCTTGGAGTTCTGGTGAATCTACTGATAAGGATCTCCCTATCTCCTGCCTGGGTTTGGCTTTGCTTTTCCTCACAGCCCAGGATCCTTTCCTCTGGGAACAATAGACCCTCTTCCACAGATAGACTTGAGGGAGCTCTTCTCGCCTTTCCGGCTTCCAAAGTGAATGGAGAATCCTCTCCTTAGGTCCTCAAGGGGGAATGCCAGAGGATTCTGACAGGCTGCACTCTGTGTCTCCCATCTCCATCACTGAGGCTGAGGGTGAGCACTAGGGGTCCTTTCTCCTACCCCACCTATGTGGGGAAGGGGAAACTGAGTAGCTGCCTTGCCTCACAGATGACACATGAGACTTGACAATAATAACAATTTCCAAAAGGAAGCTGAGGGAATGTCTTAGTGTTCCCTTGCTGTGAAGAGACACCATGACCACGACAACTCTTATCAAGGAAAGCATTTCATTGGGGCTGGCTTACAGGTTCAGAAGTTTGGTCCATCCTCATCTTGGTGGGAAGCATGGAGGCAGGTGCCAGAGAAGCAGCTGAAAGTTTTACATCCAGATTTGCAGGCATCAGGCAGAGAAAGCCCCTGGGTCTGACCTGGACTTTTGAAAACCTCAAAGCCCACCCCCAGTGACACACTTCCTCTAACAAAGCCACACCTCCTCATCCTTTCAGACAATGAACTCCCTGGTGACCAAGCACGCAAATATCCAGCCTCCAGTGGGGCTGTTCTCATTCAAACCACCACAGGGGAGGAATGCTGAGATGAAATGGCAAGTGTTCACTTTATAGTTCAAGAGAAGGGGGAACCCAGATTCATAACCACTGCCATCCATTCGGCTGGCTGTCTTAAAGAACCTGCCAGAGCAGCGGGCCTCACCTGGCACTACTAACCTAACAAGGCAAGGTTGCCTTGCAGCTTTCTAGGTCACTTAAGGAACTTGAATCCATGGCTATCATCCTTGCCCTCAGAAGGCAGGCGAATTGCTTCTCAACTCCCAAATCTCTTTGCAAGAAGACCTTTGAAAGCTATTGAATGAGAGAGCTTTATCTATAAACCAGGTGATCCTAAACAAGAGAGATGTGTTCTCTCTCACTCCTGGAGGCGGGAAATCTGAGGCTGAAGTGTGCTCCCTCTGAAGGCTCTTGGGAAGAATGTGTTCCAGAACTTTCAGCTCTTGGTGTTGCCAGTGTTTCTGGGTGTTCCCGGCAGTCTCTGCCTCTGTGGGGACCGGATGCTCCCTGTATCTCTCCATCATTGTCCTTCCCGTATGTGTGACTGACTGTAGGTCTCTCCTGGACTAGGACCCATCTTCATGGCCTCTTTTTAACCCTGACTGAAAAGACACTACACCCTAATACGATCACTCTTCTGGGGCTGAGATTTGGATTTGAACCCCTGTCGGGGAGTCACAACTCAGCCAATATCCTCCCAAAGGCTAAGATGAATCCCATCCACAGTGACCTTGAGAATGCTGAGTGGCAGGGCAGATCCAGGTGACACCCACCCAGCAGGGACAAGTGAAACTTGGTGTTCAAGAGACGGGGAAAACCAGGGTCACACCTACCATCATGCATTCAAACAAATGTTGAACACTTTTCCTCAACAAAGCAGAAGTGGCCATGGCCTGTGAATGAAGGACCAACTGTGACAGGTGATTGGGGGGCCCAGTGTTCCATGCTGAACCACACTGAGTGAAGACACGGAGGCAGGAAAGCAGGGGAGCCCCAGCCAGGCCTGCAGGGGCGGGGACATCACAGATGGTTCACGGGAGGAACCTGTGCCACACTAGTAATCTACTGGGGACAGATACTGTGCCTGAGGACAGGTGGAAGGGGTCATTATCTGGCATCTGCCTCCCAGTAGGGCAGCTGCTGGGGCCCAGGGCCTTCTCTGCAGAAGGATGCAGGTGTGAGTCTTTAGCTGTGACCACACAGGCGGCAGATGAGAAACAGAGAAGGGCCTGTGGGACCCGGGCAGGGCCCTGGTGGGAAAACGCAGATGCACGACAAAGCAAGGTAGGCCAGAGCTAAATCCTGGGTGTAGGTGTGGGTTTGGAACTTGGCCAGACGTAGAGCAAATTAATACCCAGGAGTGGATGAGACTGAAGACAGGAGGGCAGCAGGAGGGACGGGACTAGAAGCCAGGAGAAACCGAGGAAGACACACCCCACCGCTGGGCTTGTTTAACCCGGTGTCCTCAATCACTCGACAACTTCTGTCCAGGACAAAAGCCAGGGCCTTGGGGGCTTTCGTAACAACCTGTCCCTAAATCTCTCACATGCTTGAGGGACTGAGAATAAAAAGTCCCACTTCTCCCGCAGGGCTGAAAAAGTCCCACATGGCTGAGGTTTGGCCTGGAACCTTTGAGACACAAAGTCTCTGTTCAAAAAAAAAAAAAAACCTAAGTGGTGTGAGGTCAAGGGTCACCTAACATCCAGATGTCAATTTGACTCCAGCTCTTCTTTACCTGGGAGGCTCCAGCCCAATGGATGAGCGTGGTGAGTCTGTTTCCTCACCTGCAACACCCGAAGGCAAACAAAAGCTGCAGGGCCCCTCCCTTTTCTGACGCTGTGACAGAATGCGGGATAAAAGCAGCGTAGGGAAGGAAGAGTTCCTCGTGACTCTGTGAGTCACCGTGAGACAGGTTGAAGGTGCAGCCTGTCATGTAAGGGAAGGTGCAGCAGCGATGAGGCAACATTGCATCCAGGAAGCAGAGAGACGCAAGCCGGTGCTCAGCTCACATTCTCTTTTTCATCCAGTCGGAGATCTGCATGGCACATCTTAATTTGCTTTCCATTGCTGTGATAGACATTGTGACTAGAAACGACTCGGGGAGAGCACAGTTTATTTGGCTTACATGTCCTGACCCTGCTCCATCATGGAGGGAAGTTAGGATGGGACGTTAAGGAAGAGAGAGGCAGAAACCATATCGAAAACCTGCTTTCTAGCTTCCTCTGAGGCTTACACTCAGCTCCCTTTCATTTGCCTCCCAGGGCTGAATGCTTCGAGGGAGCAACATCCATTGTGCCTGGGCCCTCCACATGAATCATTATCCAAGAAAATGCTGCACAGATCTGCCAAAGACAATCTGATGGAGGCATTTTCTCAGTTGAGGTTGCCTCTTCCCAGAAGACCCTAGCTTGTGTCAAGTCAACAAAAACACTAATCAGCACAAGGTGAGTCTTTGCTCAATGGAAATGCCCTTCTAGACACCTAGTCACAGACAGAATTCTGTTTCCATGGTGATTCTAATTCCCATCAAACTGTCAAATGTAATGAGTCTTTCTCTGTCCCACCAGCCAGCTCTCAAATAATGACACAGAGAGACTTTTTTTTTTTTTTTATCAATTGTGAAAGTTTGACCTTAGCTTAGGCTTGTTTCTAACTAGCTCTTAAAACTTCAATTAACCCATTTCTGTTAATCTACATGTTGCCATGTGACTCGTGGCTTTCACCTCTCCTCCTGCATGTCCTGCTTCCTCTGCATCTGGCTCACGACCCTGCCTTTCTTCCTCTCTGTCCCCAGAAGTCTCGCCTAACCTCTTCCTGGCTATTGACCACTTAGCTCTTTATTAAACCAACCACAGTGACACATCTTCACACAGTGTAAAGGAGTATTCCACAACAGCCAAACTATCATGTTTGCCTAAAAAAGTTGTCCAGAAAGTATCCCGAGACGTGATAGGTAGGTCAACTGTGTGCTTTTAGTAAGGCCTCCTTGAGAGAGGGTCACATGTAGTTGAGCCCAGGGCCAAAGGGAGAGAGTGGGCTGTATTTGTAGTCAGTGGGACTTTGAAGGTCCTACTAGTCCCAGAGCTGAGGGGCAGGAGTTCTGGAGCCACCGTTGTTTACTGTTGGCCCTGTAAAGTGGTAGTGTTAGTTGTACACAGGATTTTTAGTGTGTTATTATGCAGATTAAATGAACTACCGGACATAATATGCTTAGAATCATGCCTGTCATATCATCATATCATAGACTCCAGAAAAACTTCATATGATGATAACAACTTCTCAGGTCTTCCTTCCATGCTCCAAAATGGCAAGGCCAGCCTCATCTCATACACACACACACACACACACACACACACACACACACACACACACACTTCAGCAAGTCAGGGTCCCCAAATTCAGTATTCTCCAAGGAAGTTCCACTTGACAAGGGGAGGGGCTGAGTAGAGGAAAACTAAGTATCCACTGTTTACTGCTTCACTGTAGCTCGAAGCTTTTTGCACAGCTCACTTTTCTCTGACAGAGCTCTTGGCAGGGAGCCCAGCTCTGAGTCACCACATTGTAGAAGAAGACAGATAAACACTGGGGTCCGTGCAAACCAGCCTCTGAGCAATGTCCAGCGAAAAGAAATGCAAGACACAAAGTTACATGTTAATTTGTGAGGTTTTTGTTTGTTTGTTTGATTGATTGATTGATTGATTTAGTCTGGGTTTTGGTGGCGGTGGTTTGTGTTTTTGTTGAGGTGGAGTCTTAACTCTATAGCTCAAACTAACCTGGAACTCACTTAACAGTCCACGGCTAGCTTTGAACTCAGAGCGGTCTTCTTGCCTCAGCTTCGTGACTGTTGGGATTATAGGCATGAGCCACCATGCCCAGCTTCAGAAGTTATCTTTGAAGTGAAGTGAAGGGGTATCTGCCCCTCAGTGCATCTTCACCTGCCCCTTACTCTGGCAGGCATTTGCCCTGACACTGTTTCAGAGGTTTAGTTCATTATCATAATGGAGGGGAGCATGGGGGCAGGCAGGCAGGCAGGCAGGCACTGGAGCAGATGAGAGCTACATCCTGATCCACAGGCAGAGAGAGAGATTCTGAGATTGGCATGGTCCTTTGAAACCTCAAAACCCACCCCAGTGACACACTTCTTCCAACAAGGCCACACCTCTTAATCCTTCTAATCCTTTCAAATAGTTCCACTCTCTGATGACTAAGTTTTCAAGTATGTGAGTTTATGGGGACCATTCTCATTCAAACCACCACATGAGCACCAGCATCCTCTTTCCAGAGAACTCTCTGCAAAAGAGAGTCTCTGGACCAACCCCTCCCTCTTCGTCTGAAGTACCTCAGGGTTTTTTTGTTGGTGGTGGTTTTTTGTTTTGTTTTGTTTTCATTTGTCATAATTTGAGGTTGTAGTTGGCCAGGTCCTGCCAAGTCTCTGCAGTCCTGTGCCTCGCTTATAGAATAATCACTCAGAAGCTTATATTAATTATAACTGCTCAGCCATTAGCTCAGGCTTATTACTGACTAGCTCTTACATTAAAATTAACCCATAATTCTCATTTATGTTTAGCCATGTGGCTTGGTACCTTTTTTCAGTTCTGCCTTGTCATCTTGCTTCCTCTGTGTCTGGCTGGTGACTCCTGACTCAGCCCTTCCTCTTCCCATAATTCTCCTCATCTGCTTACCCCACCTATACTTCCTGCCTGGCTACTGGCCAATCAGCATTTTATTTATCAACCAATCAGAGGAACACATATTCACAGCATACTGAACGACATCCCACAGCATGAGGTCATTTAATTTCCTAGTTCACTTTAGCCACACACCCTAACACTGTCATTCTGTTTAGATTCTAAGCTCCATGAAAACAGAGCCCATGCCAAGGCATGCCCAGGGCCAGGTTCTTTCCAGATAGTTATGAGTAAACATCAAATGATTCAACCTCTGTTGTGCTCTGCAGTCTGAGGGTCCCTGAGCCAAGGTGCTTGGGACCAACAGTATTGCAGATGTTAGATTAACTTTAGACACTAAAATATTTGCATTTTTACAGTGAAATATCTCAAGCTTGGCACCAAAGCCTGCAAACAAATTCCCCTCATGTTTACCCACTCCTATGCACACAACCCCGAGGGAACTTGATGCAGTGTTTTTTAGCACATCTGCATTTTGGTTATTGTGTCTCACATGAATCTGAGGTGGGATTTTCCATGTGTGGAGTCATGTCAACTCTGGAAACACTTCTGTATTTTGATATGTGTCGAATTTGGGGGTTGCTTTCAAACTAGGAATGCTCAACGAGGTCAGTGGTAGCTGTGTGACCCTGGAAAAACCACCAGCTGATGCTGAGCCGTGTTCCCCTTTAAAGGTTAGGTTGGCTCTGACTCTTTCCCAGGTTGCCATGAGAGCGCCCCAAATCCCTAAGGTGCTCAGCTTTAATAACAAGATGATGAGCTGAGAACTCAGAGCTCACTAGATGTTTGCAGAGATCTGAACAGCAGCCAAACGCACGTATAGCTATGTGAGAGGGCATGTTCTATGGGTATATCTGCTGTAAGGGCTAAAGTTGTGTTTTAAGTTTAAATTACTTTGCTTAAGAGAGCTATAAACAAAAACACCTCTTATTTGCAAGCCCCGCTTGCCCAAGGACAGATAACTTCCTGGAATGTTGGGGTCTGTTGTTTGTGTAAGGTAACAAGCCAGGCGTTTTCACTTCTGTAAACAAGGTGGGTTGCCCCAACTGCACAGGATGTGCTTGATCACACATAGGCAGGAGGTACGTAGACAGGAAGAATGTCAGGATGTATGCTTGCTCCTGATTGGACGTAGCCTTGTGGGCTGATTAATGTAATTCATATAATGCTAATGTGATGGTCCAGCCCTGATGGCTTTTGGAAGTTGAGTTTTCTGGGCTGGTCCAGAAATGGCCATTCTCTAGGAGTCCTAGATATGGACCTGGCTAGAAATGTCCATCATCTTGGCCAGTATTTAATAAAGCTTGCTTCAAATTTGGCTCAAATATTGTGGTAGTGGTCTTCTTCTTGCCCAGTGGGGTTACACTGCCTGTTGACTTTCCCCTCTTTTAACTCACCCCTGACACCATGATCACTTGGGAGAAGCACACCCAAAGACTATGTGGTAAGGGAAATGCCAGCTTGTACCACACCTTCTGCTGGCTGCCCAGGTGGCTGGCTTACTCTAGCAACTGGGCTGCCCGTCTTACCTGTCCTTCCCCTGGGAAAGGGAAGATTTGGCTCCAAGATCAATCCCTTCCTGCCACCATGCCCTCAAACAGGGGACACTGATTCACAGTGTCACACTGACTTCTTCCCTGCTTGCCTGTTATTTACCTGATGAAGAGCATGCTTATAGTACCTGCACCTGGGCTCACACATCAGTCACATCTATCCAATAATGCTTTCTGCATTGTGATTAGAGGGGAGTGTGCCCAGTCAGTGGCAAAGGATGGTTACAGAGACTCTGACAATGAAAAGCAGGCCAACAGGAACCATCTCGCATGCCATTCTGGCTCCTGAAATGGATCTTGCTTCTCAAATTTCTCCCTTATCTATTTGTATGTCCCTGCCTACAAAACGCACTTATTCAGGGTGTGGCTTGTTTTCTCACCGCCCCCCCCCATTCTCTCTCTCTCTCTCTCTCTCTCTCTCTCTCACACACACACACACACACACACACACACACACACACACACACACACACGCACACACACCTCCTCTTCCCCCCCTCCCCTCTTCTTCCTTTTCCTCCCTCCTCCTTCTCCTTCTTCTCTTTCTTCCTCCTCCTCCCCTTCTTCTTCTTTTGGTTTTTGAGACAGGATCTCCAGATCTCAGGCCTTGGCTGGCCTGAAACTCAGAGACCCTTCTGCCTGTCTCTGCCTCTCTGACCCTTCTGCAGGGATTAAAAGACTGAGCTGTCACATCCCACCTTCTCTGCTTCTCCTAAGTGTCCCGGATTGAATCAAGGTTCCCGTGAATGTTAGACTGCCACCAAGCTACAGCCACAGGCCAGACTTAATGCCATTCCCTCTTTTGTGAGTTACTGACGCCGACCTAGGGCCTCGGGAGCACTGGGTGAGCATCCTAGCACGGAGCTCCACCTCCCCTGGCACACTGGGTGAGCATCCTAGCACGGAGCTCCACCTCCCTCTCGTGTTCTTATTAAAGATGAACTTATTAACGATAAACAAAACTACCAATAATCTAGACACACCCACAGTGCTGAATATATTTTGTTTTTATCACATCCAAGGGATAGTACCATCTGTTTGTCTGTATGCCTACAGTATTTAAAAATGAAGAATGTTCTGGAACAGTGCAATCTCTGGGAATGAAAATATTCTTTCTGCCCTGTCTAACATTGTGGCCACTAGCCACATATTGCCACTGAATGTGTGAAATGTGGCTGGTACCACCAAAGAGCCAGATGATTC